TCTCTCTCTCTCTCTCTCTCTCTCTCTCGGATCCTTAGCGAGATTCGATAAGGTGGCCGATGGTCACTGGGGGTCTTTGATCCACGTAGTGTACCCTCGGCCGGGGTATCCAGGAATGAACTGAGTTCGGGAGAGAGAGAAAAAACGTCGGTGTGCGGCGCTGATCTGACGAGCCTCATTGTCCGAACAAGTTTTTTTGGGATCCTTTCGAAACTAATCTGTGGCCACGATTTTGTTTTATTATAATTGCGGCAGTATTTGTTTATTTCGTATCGTAGCTCGGAGTGAGCGTAGGGAACGGTTCGTGCCTAATGTCAGATAAGCGGTTTTTTGTGAGAGGCCGTGATTACGATCGTTTTTTGTGGACATTTCTTCCTGACTATCCGGGGGACCAGGAATTTTTCGGTACACTGTGCCTCTAATCTAAGCCGTGCATGCAGACCCAGAAGCGGATAGCATTCGGTTTCTCCGATATAGGATAGAGTCTAGATTCGGACCTGGTCTGAGGAAAGGGAGGAACAATGTTTTGCGATGATCTAGATAACGGCCTAAAGATGAATAATAATAATAATATATAAAAAAGAGACGATGGCGCCTTTATTCCTTTTTATTCTCTTTTTATTCCCTTTATTCCTTTTGTACTTGAATTTTTTTTTCCCCTCGTTTTTGCACAAGTACGGAGCATACCTCCATCAGCCCGGTACGGGAATAGCACTCAGGCGAGGAGATAAGAACGCTGCACCGGCCAAGGATCCGATAGTACTGCAACTCAGACTCGGGTAGTGTGTTCGGTGGCTTCTAGTGATGCTGCGCACGAAGCAGGTGTGGATGGTGACATTGTGGGAAGAGGACTGGGGATGGGAGATTAGTAGACATAATGCGAGCGGATTACTCAAGGGTTTTATTTACTTTTTGTGTGAGAGATGGCCGTAACTCTCATTGAGGATGGATCTGTTTTCCTCCTGAAGAGACCCGGCATGCGCACGGGTCGAAACGCGTCGAGGATGAGCACAGTTGTACGGTGTATGGGAGAAAGAGCTGTGATGAACATCTATTTTTTCGAGTGTTCTTTCTTCTCTCCGTTTGTGTGCAGTGTATGGCCGCTGTACGTGTCCCTGAACTCTCTCTCTCTCTCTCTCTCTCTCTCTCTCTCTCTCTCTCTCTCTCTCTCTCTCTCTCTCTCTGTGATAGATACCTCTCTCTCTCTCTCTCTCATAGATACCAAGAAGTCAGGCAGCGGGAGGGTGAGGAAGAGATGGCGGACTTAGAGGAGGAAGAAGAAGAACTCAATCTCTCTCTCTCTCGTAGTCCGGCACTAACCTGGAAAGGTGGCGCCTGGCTGCAGGTATGTCGAAGACGAAGCTGGAGCTATGGCGCCGCAGGTGAGTCTCCCTGGCCTCCGCCAACCATCTCTCTCTCTCTCTCTCTCTCTCTCTCTCTCTCTCT